AGAGCATCCTTTGAAGAGGTAAATTAAGGAGACCCTAGTGGGGGTTTCCTTGTCATCAGGAGAACAGAAGGCCCAAGTCTGTCGATTGCCATGAGGCTGTAGGCAGCCCTAGCCCCAGACGGTGGATTGTTTTTAACACTACAACGAACAAGGCCAGGCCAGGGGGGATCTGTACGACATTTACCCAACCTGGTCCCCTTGCAGCTCAGTGCAGAACTGCAGCCAGACCAGAGCAACCCTGTCTAGGCTGCCTGGAGCCTTCAGCCTGGCCAGGTAGTGCCCTGCCTGAGGGGACCAAATCCCTCTGCCTCGCCACCCCACGCCCCCTCAATCGGCTCGCCCCCTATGGGATTGCCCCTGGGACCTTCCCTCGAACCAGTCCCATGAGTGGGCAGTTGCTGCCTAGCTAGGACTTGCCTGGGGATGCTCTGTTCCAGTCCAGCCTGTGGGGGAGCCCATTGGGCGGGAGTAAGTCGGCCCCAGCATGAGGGGAGAAGGCCACTCCTGATGTAGCAACAGGGCTCAGCCCATCCCCACCTGGACCGGGGCACCTGGCACTGTGCTGCCATCCTGTCCAGCACCCTTTGCCCCCGGCCGGAGCAGTCGTGGCTGCCCACCACAGAGCTCCACTTCTGGCCCCAGCCAGGGCCACCTTAGCAACCATAGGTCACCCGACATGGGGTTCCAGCTGGGGCTGCCGGAGAAGTTGTGGGCCACTCACCATGGAGCTCCAGCCCCAACCAGGGCTGCCAGAGCATCCGTAAACTGCCTATCACAGGGCATCAGCTGTGACAGCCAGGGCCACCAAAACAACCAGGAGCCGCCCACCATGCAACTTGCAGCTCCAGCTTTGGAGAAGGCCGAAAGCTAGGGCCATGGCCGCATGGTGGCTGCCTTGCTGCCCCTGGCAGGAGGGGGGGGCAGCTGATTAGCCACTGTGCAGCTCTTCTGAGGAGGTGAGTGGACCTCAAATTTCTGGTGCATGGCCACGCAGGCGCAAACCTTTCAGGGAACCCTAGTCATCACCATGTCGATGTGAGTATGAGCTGGCCTGTAGACCCTTGCCAGCCAGGCCTGCAGCAGGCATAGGTGCAGCATGGCGTGTTGCATCACATAAGTGCAAGCCACCATGTGACCCCACAGCCTCATGCTGTTTCTTGCGATGGTCAAAGTTGCGGCCTGGAGCTTTAGAATGATGTTTCTCATAGCCACAAACGTGGCACTCAGCAAGGATACCAGCCCTGTCATGCATTCAGCCTTGCTCCCACAAATGCTATTACTTGCGTGGGGGCAAGGGTTGATTTTGCCTCAACCCCAGGTGGGAAAAGATTTCCAGGGCCACATCTATGTGGGCTCCCTTTGGCATACAGCTTTTACCACAATGGAGTACCCCTCTGGTTCCGGTCGTGTGCCTGGGTGGGAAGGCACGCCCATGGGTCACATCCGCCCCGCAACCCGGTTCGGGTCGTGTCATGTGCTTTGGATCATTCCCTGGAGACTCATGTCCGCAGGCTCGGGTCCGAAAACCCTGTCCTCACAAATCTCTGCGGACATGTCAAAACAGGTTCAGTGAAAATGACACCCACTGCGGTCAGGGGGACTAAGCTGGAAACTACCCGCTGGGCCCGACCTTCCAGCCAGCTTTGTAGAAAAAGGGGCAGGAAGTAACGTAGCATTAGTTTGGAAAAACCACAGTTAAATGTCCCAACTCAAGTAGGTTGGGCAATGTCCTTTTCCTCTTTCGCTCTCAAGTCCAGCAATGTAGTTGTCCCCTACACATGCCTAACCCTTCTCTATACCTCACTCAGTCATTGCCCTTGGTCAGGGCAGACCAGAGTTCAGAGTTGCATCTGCAGAGTTCACCTCCCCTCCTGAGTTTGGGGGGGGGGAGGGAGGTAGAAGGCATTTCACTCACTCTGCTGATCACTCGCCATCCACCTACTCATTGTTCTTGGGCACTGCTCCATTGCCCCTTGCTGCAACCAATCTGCTGGCTACTCCTCACGCTTCTCCATCAGACAATCACTGTCACCAGCCACTGGCTTATGGTGGATTTGGCTCTGGACCAAACCTAGTGATTTCAGCTCTCTGATTTCAGCTCCTAGCCCAAAGCACAGTCCAACCACAAGAGATTCCAGCATCCACTGGAGTACATTTACATACAAAAGAGACTCCTAATGGAGTCTTTCTTTAACTCTAGCAAAATTCAGGACTATGTAGCACTTTAAAGACTAACAAGATGGTTTATTAGATGATGAGCTTTCGTGGGCCAGACCCACTTCCTCAGATCAAATAGTGGAAGAAAATAGTCACAACCATATATACCAAAGGATACAATTAAAAAAAAAGTGAACACATTCCTCAGATCAAATAGTGGAAGAAAGTAGTCACAACCATATATACCAAAGGATACAATTTAAAAAAATGAACAAATATGAAAAGGACAAATCACATTGCAGAACAGAAGGGGGATGCGGGGGGGTGGGAAGGGGGAGGAAGGAAGGTAAGTGTCTGTGAATTGCTGATATTAAAGGTAGGGAGAGTGGGATGTTTGTGAGTTAATGGTATTACAGGTGATAATTGGGGAAACTGTCTTGGTAATGGGTGAGATAGTTCAAATGTTTGTTAAGTCCTTGTTGGCAAGTGTCGAATTTTAACATGAATGACAGTTCAGAGGATTCCCTTTCAAGTGCAGATGTAAAAGGTCTTTGTAGCAGAATGCAGGTGGTCAAGTCATTGAGAGAGTGTCCTTTCTGGTTAAAATGGCAAGAAACTGTTTTTTCTTTGTGATCTTGTCTGATATCTGTTTTGTGGGCATTAATCCTTTGGCGAAGTGTCTGAGATGTTTGTCCAATGTACATAGCAGACGGACACTTTCGGCACATGATAGCGTAGATTATATTTCTGGATGCGCAGGAATATGTGTTCTTGATCTTATAACTCACTTGGTTAGGTCCAATAATGGTATCAGCAGAATGAATATGTGGACAAAGCTCGCAACGGGGTTTGTTGCAAGGGAAGGTACCAGGGTTGGTATTAGTGTGGTATGTCCTGTGGTTGTTGGTAAGAATCATCTTGAGGTTAGGTGGTTGTCTATAGGAGACTATGTATCCCTCTTCTGTTCTGAAATGTGATTTGTCCTTTTCATATGTGTTCATTTTTTTTAATTGTATCCTTTGGTATATATGGTTGTGACTATTTTCTTACACTATTTGATCTGAGGAAGTGGGTCTGGCCCACGAAAGCTCATCATCTAATAAACCATCTTGTTAGTCTTTAAAGTGCTATTTAGTCCTGAATTTTGCTTCAGCTACACCAGACTAACACGGCTACATTTCTATTACTTTTCTTTAACTCTGTCATTGAAACAGTGGAGAAAAACAGGTTGGACCAGTCTGACAGTTCAGGCAACTTAATCTATAGGGCTCTGAAAGAGGCAGTATGTGTCTATCCAAATCTGTTTACGCTGACAGGGTCTCTCCTTCTAACTGAGTTTAAAACAGTCTGGCTTTTCTGCATTGTGCATTCCCACAAAAACTGCAAGCATTGGTGGTCATATCTTACAATTCCTGCATTTACTCTTCACACAGTTTGTAACCCCACAACAGCCAAGTAGGTTACAATGAGCAATACACCTTCTAAATAATAGTTGATTATCAAACAGGCCTAAGGAAGCTGAATGAAGTGAATTTACATAACCATACCCAGGATTTCTTTCCCATTCCAGCCTGAACTGTATTTACATAACTGTTGAATACCTAGTAGGTCTAAGCAAATTTAGTGGACATACATACCACACCCAGAATTCCTTTCCCATTCCAGCTGGCTGTAATGGAAGCATTGATTCAGACCCTCCTTACACTTTTTTGAAGTACTTTTTGATAATTAGATACTTCCAGGAGTGCCAGTCACCAAGCCACATAAATATGACCCAGAATGCTGATTGTGGTGTTTAAAATGGAAAACTGCTTTTAATAAGTATAATGCGCACAAACTGAATCAGTGAGCATATTGTGGAAGTGAATTAAGATACGCAGTGCAGGCAGCAGTGTATGTGACTGTCACAATTCAGAGGGACAATTGACTTCTCTACTACTGCTAAATAAAGGTAGAGAGACTGCAGGCTTGAGCTGCAGGTATTTGGAGAAAGATAGAAACTTAGCAGAACAGTGTCATTCTCCAGGTGGAAATGACAAGCCTGTATTATTTTTTCAGCAGCCCTCTTATGAAGTACTAATAGCCTCCAGCTAGAGTAAATGCAGTGTGGGAGGCAGGCCAGCATTAAGGGTTAGTCAGATATTCTCTTTGAAGTAGCTCGGAAAAACCTTAATCTGAAGGGAATGTCAGTCCTTTGGCATGCATAATAACTGCTCAGGGTCAAGTTCATGAAAGAGAATATCTTCTGTACTACCTATTGCTCTCCTAACAAAACTAAAACAAAAAAACAAATTTTAATTGGTAGCTAATTCAAATAGTTCAAAATGCTACACTTTCCATTTAGAAGCAGAAAATCGATATAGTGATGATATAATGTACTTTTGTATTCTGTATATAAATACGTTTTTTCCTGTGGAGATTTCCTGTTTAATTTATAAAAGTCTTATCTTTACATATTAAATTAATAAAACAAAGTGCTAACACTTAATTTAAAAGTGAACACATGAATAGGTGTGCTTTTGTGATTTGCACAAATGGTTCCTTGGCTGCCAATGGGAGATCTGTGTAGTGAATTAAGTAAGTTGAATGTGATCTGTTTTTGTATGTACTGTATTTTGATTATCAGCAGTTTTTGAAAATGGGGTATTTCCATTGTAAACAATCATGGACAGTAATTTTTTTTCATTCTAGAAGCGGAAAGCTAAATAACCATTTAGAAGCTGCTATACACGAGGCCATGAGTGAACTGGACAAAATGTCTGGGAATGTAAGTTCCTTTGTTTTTAGTTATATAGTATTTATTTTCATACATTTATGAAATGGGTTTTTCCATTTTATGGCATTTTCAAGCAAACTCTTTTTGTATTATTAAGTTTTTAAATAATAACATTGAAAAAGATGTATAATTTCAGTTAGATTGTGATTACTCTGCATTATTCCTCTCCACCCAGAGTAACTATTGGATACTTATCTTTTATGTGTGAGATCTACCTATATTTTGAACAGACCCTGTACTCCCACGACTACCCCTGGCGTTTTGCCTGAGTAAGGAATCCAAGAATCAGACCCATCTTGTCCAAGTTTGCAACAGCATTAAAAAATCTTATGACTGTAACACTACAATGAATAATCTTCATCTAAAACAAAATAGAAAATATAAGAAGCAAATTAAGATGAATAAACTCAAAACCTAACTATGCTTGTTTTACTTTTTGTTTTCACTTTTACTTTGTGGCATACAGACAAAATAAATTTCTAATAATGTTAATACACTTTTAAAATGTATTTGGAATTTTGTTATACTCTTGTTATCACAGAAGTCATGCAAATTATTAAAAACCATTACAATACATTAAAAATACTCAAAACTTCTAATTAGTATTTTTATAAGTATTAATGGTTTTAACTATTAAAATAAAATTAATTTTCCCCCTGATATTATAAACCTCAACCCTGCAAAGACTCATGTACATATTTAACTTTACACAACCAAAAAGATTTAAATGGGACTATTTATGGTGTGTGAAAATAAGCATATGCAGAAATCTTTGCGAGATTTGCACCTTAGACATGGTTTTAGTACTATCTGGAATACTGTCTATATCTCTTGCTGTCTGCTTTGAATTGTTGATGAAACTGAACCTTTTGATTATTAGCTTTATTAATAGAGAATTATGGGTTTTCATCTATAGTAAATTTTAAATATATAATATGATTGACATAGACTATAACTGATACTAGCAATAACATCTGTAAGATGAAATTCTAGCTGAATTGAAGAATTTGATGGTGACATAAGGACATTTTTTTCATATGATTCAAGGATTTGTAATTTTTGATTAATAGTTATCTGTAACCTACTGATTGCTTTTTTTCCAAAATACACAGCCTCAATTCTACCAACAGATGGTGGTGGTATTCCATGTAAAACAGCCGTACATTGTTTTGCATTCCATCTCTTGTAGCAGTGTTAAAAATGTTTTTAATGGTTTTATATGATCATGATCTTTCCTCCCAGCTTTTGAATGGAAAATAATTGATGATTAAAAACATTTTCACTTGATAAATAATCTACAGATCAACCTGAAATTTATGATAATGGATGAAAATAGTTGGCTGAAAATGGTTTATTCCTTAAATTCTGGTCTCTGGGGCTCTGTCTACACTGCAGAGCCATTTTGGGATACTGAAAGTATCCCGAAATAGCTCTTTCACATCTTTTGAGCATGCTTGTTATTTCGAAATATAACGGGCTCACTATTCCAATGTCCCTGTAAGCCTCGTTTCACAAGGGTTAAGGGACGTTTTGGAATATCGCTTTATTTTGAAATTTGACTCTGTTAGATAGCACCACATTTCGAAATAAGCTATTTTGAAATTACCTCAAAATAAGCTACACAATTCACATAGTGCAAATTGCGTAGCTTATTTTGAGGTAAGGGTGTCATGTAGATGCAGTGATGGCCAGAGCCCCGGACCCTTTAAGTTGCTGGGCCGTGCACTCCAAGCAGTGCTAAAGGCTGAAAGGAGTGCACTGCACTCCAGTCAGCGCTGAGGGCTGGCAGGCCTTGGCCCGAACCCTTCTGGGAACGTGAAGCTGGGGGACCTCCCCATACTGTCCAGGGGCCCACAGAGTTCTGTTTGCTCTGCTGTTGTTATTGTTTTGTGTTTCAGTTCTTTGTACAGTGATGGAAGTAGTATTTTTCTCCTGAAATTAATGTTCTTGAATTTACTTCTAATTCTGGTTTTAATCTGAAAATTACAAGCTGTATCACTTGGAGAGCATAATAACTTTTCAAGCAATACTATAGTTGATTGATCACTAGCAGGTTCTCTAATTTCTGTGCTAAACTTTCCATTTATTTATTTTCTAGGTACACCAAATCCCACAGGGAGACAGACAGGTGAAGCCTCCAAAACCCAAGAGGAGGAAGATCTCTAGATAACATTGAATGTCTTTGTTTCTGATCCAGTACTTATCAAATTGAACATGCACATAAATCAGTATGTAGGTATCGATATAGATATTATATCAATATTTATATCAAGGACAGATAGATACCATCAAAGGGTGCTAAGCAAAATAGTGGTACAATATTTTTGGTGATCATGTGGGATAGTTAATGCTGGATAAACCAATCAGATTCCTTGAAAGATTACACTTAAAAATGTCAGATGATTACTGAATTTTTTCTATAATACTAAAATTGTGATTATAAAAATAGTCCAAATGTTTCTGATGAATTTTCATTGTGTATATAGCTAATACAGAATTTCATGGTGATATCTGAAATGTAAATATTGTACAATATTGTCATGTACAAGCGTACCTAATGCACACTTTATCTTTTATTGTACAAAAAAATAGTGTACAAAATTCTTTGGTTTCTATTGAGTACACATACAAGAGACTACCAGTGTAAAGTGATAAATAAAAAATACAGCCTAAATGCTTTTATATGATAATGTAAAAGATGCTGTTTTTGTATTTAACAGCAGAGAAAAGGCATGATTATGTAATACCTTAATTATGGCATACACTTCACACCACTGAGTGTTCATTTATATTGTCTGTTTCGAATGAACCTTGCCTGGAAGTACTGTACTCCATTCAGGTCTCTGTAGGAGAGTGCAAACTTGCAGATTCCTAAAGGGATGTGGGATCACAGGTCTAATTAAGAATTCAAAAGCTGCAACCACTGGTTGCATTTTATTTAGTTAAGTTTTAAAGTAGAGTGCTGTAGATTTTATTTTAAAAAAAGTTTAGATGAAATATTTTAGTTAGCCATTTCTGTAGTTGAAGTTTAATAGCCACCTTCTAAACTAAGCAATTTATACCGCCATTGACTTTGAATTACCCCAAACCCTGTATTTGTTAACCTGGGGTTTTTAACCTGATTAAACATACTGTTTACATATATGGGGGAATGGCCCTATTTTAAAAATATGAGTGTTAATGTTGATTACAATTTGATCTTTCAGTGGAATAAAAGAGCATGCTCAACAGCATTCCTAAACAATAATTCTAGTATCCCTCATACAGTATTACTAAACTGAAAGTTAAAGGTGGCTAACAAAACTATTAGCAACAGTAATTTTATCAGTATTATGTAACATATCAGATTTATTTTATTTAAAAAGAATTATTTATACCATTAACAGATTCTTATATATATTAACGTGGCTGAAATATGCAGGTTAAATCTATTAACCAAATTATTTATGTTAAGTGAAAATGTGAAACATATGTAGAAAGGAAGTAATACACTACAGATATACAAGCCTAAAGCTGTCAGCCATTATAAAAGTAACAAAAAAAGTTAATAAGTGTAGCACAACATCATTTTTTTCATTGATGGTGGTGGTAGTACACCCTTCTTCTCAAAGTAAATTCTCATTTCTCCTTGCCTTTTTCCAAGATGGAGTCCGTAAGATGGACTTCTTCATCTGGGAACCACCACGTCTTTAACCTGAAATTCCTTTTTCTCTATAGCGGCAAATCTGCATCCTCTAGTTAAGACTGTTAGTAATCAGCATCTTCTGACGCTGATAACATTGCCACTCTATTGATAATCCCTGTTTGGCACTTGTACAGTGAATAACTATTCCTTTCCCCACTGACTTTCTCCAAAACCCAAACTCAATTATCTGTGTGACATGATTGAGATCCATTGGCCCAGAGGATAAAGAGACCTGAGGACATTTCCAAACTCAGTTTTCTTGTTCCACAGCACATAGCACTACAACTGGGTTAACCTGCTTTTTCATGTTTCATAGACAGCTCTTATTCTTTTCCCCCACCCCGACCTTATGGAATGCAATTAGCTACACTAAGCTACAGTGGCCTGGAGGCAGGAACCCATCCTTCCACTGGGTAGGTTCATTTGTCTTTTGTGTAATGGCGGGACAGCCTGCCATGGTCCTACATGCAAACTCATGTGAAGTGATCTTTTGTGTAGTTTAGTTAACACTTTTTGTTACAAGTTGATGTGTTTGTTATGTTTAAAGAATTAATGTTGTCCATTTTTCGTATCAGCCTGCTTTTCTGCTGTTTTGTCTACATAGATGTTTTTATTCATAAATACATGCGTGTGTGTGTGTGTGTGTGCGCGCGTGTGTGTATGTTTATATTTAGTTTGGGTTTTTTTACCTTTTTCTTTTCGGTCTTAACACTGAGTTTGTATTGACCAACCCTTCTTTTGGCAGTTTAACTAATTAGGTTTGTACTTTCTCACCAATGTATACTTTACATTAGTAGACTATGTAAAGTATTTTTGTGCACTTGATTTCATTGGTTAATAATGGCATTGATGTGGGTGCTAGGCGTAGTTTGTTTCAGTCCATACAGATTTTTTTTTCTCTTTTAGAGTTTTTATGGTTTCATGTAAGCAGTTAATGTAAATATTGTGAGCATTACAGGTCATGCAGTGTTGTAACATTTTAAAAAATGTTGCACCTACTTTACAATTAAAAAACTGGTCACTCATACTTGAATTTTGCCCATAGAGCCATTTCTTTCTCTTTGCATTAAAGCATAATATACTTTTTTGATGGAGGCCCAGACCTTTCTACATTATTATTTTTTGTTTAATAAATCTATATTTTTTCTAATAGAAGACTTAAAATGAAAAAAAAATTAAAAATACTTTTTGCCTAGTTTCTAATTTAAGAGAGTACTCCTATATTTAGATTGTGACAAAATACCCCATTGTGGAAAGTGGAATAATATTTTAATTGGCATTAATTTGGCACAGTCATGTGACTCTGTGAACTTTAAGTGACTGCAAGTGAGCCCACAAGAGGAATTAGTTTTTAATTAGCTTAATTATTTAAACTTAGTATCATGCTTTGAGGCTGCAAAGTGCTAAGTAGTCTCATTATTTATGGTTAGTTTATTTATTGTGGTTTATTTATAAGTGGGCTGTAGTATGTCGAGTCATTTCACATATGATAAAAGTCCAGGGTATTATTCCTCTTTCTATCATGGTGCATTTTGTGAACACCAATTAAAGAAAAAATATTTCCATTAATTTCAATGGACTTCCTTTGTATTCTTGCTGCCGACAAAAAAGATATTGCTGGAATTAGCTATGAAAATAGCTTCCCCGTAGTCAAACAAACAAATAAAAAAACACATTTTCGATCTCCCAGATCTGTTATACTCAATCTAAGATTTAAAGTGGCTGTTCTTTTTTTTTTTTACATCAAATATTAAGTTATTTCCTAAATCATTTTTACAGAAAGTTTAGAAATAATGCACTATCATCTGAGTCCCAGAGTTTGATGAAATAGAGGAAATAGAGGGCTCGTGGTGGACTGAATTATCTTAGAAATACTACCTTTCTTAATTACAGTTTGTATTTTGCTATGTAGGGTTGTAATGTGAGAATTCCAGCAGAGCACTAGCAAAAAAATGCTTTTCTATTTAAAAAAAAATCCATTCTAGTCTTACTAAGAATTAGAAAAAAAATTAATATCAGTTTTGTAATTTTTGATAAAGTTGTCGATATGATTAAATCACCAAAAAAAAGTTACTGTGATGTTCTCTTCGGGGCAGGGACCATGTCTTCCTTTATGTTTATAAAATTCCTAGCCCAGTGAGACCCTAATCTTGTATGGGGTCACTGGTGCTATGTAGTATTAAATATTAGAGAATAATCTTACAGATAAGGAAAATACACAAAAGCAAGAGAATTCACAAATGAGAGTGAAAATTGAATTCCATCTGTTGTGCCCAGCTATTATCACACAGATGTAAAATCATCAAGGTAAGTTCAGAAAATAGATTGCCTGGTCAACCATTGGGTCTTTTATCTCCAAGCCTCCTCCCCCAAAACCAGGATATTAAGTCAAAATATACCTGCAGGTATAAAAAGAGGTTTTGGTTATTTTCCTTTTGCTGTGTTTTTAACAGTACTAACTGAAATCTTTAATTCACAATTCAGAATTCCCTCAGTATCTTCAACCAATAGGCATTAGCATCTGATCTGGTGTACTGGTAGAATACAAAACATATATAGACTCATGGTGTCAGAATTAGTGCAAACACAGTTCAACTCAATGGTGTTATTTACACAATGTGTCAGAAACAGACGTAAGCAGACCTTGTATGAAGAGTACTCCACAAGATCTCATCATAGAGTTCCACTGATCATCCAGGGATTTTGCATCGACTATTTGACTAGTCGATAGAGCGTTTCAACATCTGAAGTGTAGAACCAGCCCTAAGGTTGTTGCTTCACTTTGAAGGTCCACATGGAGCCTGAGATCAGCTGGGAACTCCCCTGTTGACCCCAGTCTCCGTGCAGCGTTGCCACTTTGAAACGCTGTGGGAACCCGGAGTCAGACTTCCTGTGACATTTCAAAGTGGCAGTGCCACGTGGAGCCCAGAGTCAGCCAGGGAGTCCGCAGCTGTTCCTGGGCTCCACGCAGCACTGCCTCTTTGAAATGCCAGGTGGATCCTGACACTGGGCTCCCTGCAGTGTTTCAAAGAGACAGTGCCGCATGGAGCACAGGGTCAGCTGGGATGTTGCTGCTTTGAAATGCTGGGAGGAGCCTGACGCCAGGCTCACCACGGCATTTCAGAGAGGCAGCGCTGGGCTCTGGCCCCAGGCTCTACACAGCACTGCAGGTTTGAAGTAGTCTCTCCTTGCCCTCCCCCCCGCTGCCTCTTTCTGATAGAAGCAGCAAAGGAGGGGGACTGGTATTTGCTTATCGGATAGTCGACTAGTCCTTCACATCCCTATTAGAAATACAACAGTTCTGCTTTTGTAATCTAAAGGCAAAGAGCCTGATTTTCAATGACGTGCACTTTGGTTAGTCATTTAGACTAGCATGCAAGGTAGTGTAGACCACACCCCAGTCAGAATGGTAGGATATTGCACTGATGTAAAAGAGTATACAAGCACTGTCAGGCCCAACCTCTTTGATCCTCCTTCTTCGCCAAGCTTTATTTTATGTTGTTTGTTCATTTTGAGTAACGAGAACACCAAAAATGTATGGAAATGTTTCTTTTTTTCTTATATTTTTTCCCTTGAGTGCACAGACCAGAGTGGTCTTTCTCCTTTCAGGTGTAATACCTGTGAACTCAGCGCTTGTCTACACACTAAAGTTATTCTGGATAAGGAAGGATGTGAATTTAAAGCAGTTTTGGACAGAGGGACGTTTTCCATTTTAGCTTAATCCACTTTGGAAAAGGGATTATTTTTCCACACATAGAGTTATTAGAATATCTCTTCCAGAATAACTCCATGTATAGACAAACTTGAGAAGGATGGGTTCATGCTCATTCATCAGAATAGATCATCGATAGCTAAAGAAAATCACATACATACATTTTGGATTAACTGTTACTTTAAAAATCTTCAAGTAAAAACCCAAACCAAAGGATGTTGGAGTTGAATTCAGAGTCTGGGTCCAGATTTGAATAGCACTTATAAAACTTACAGTAACAAATACAAAGGTCTCCATTCCAAACATTTGTATAAGTCAAGGTCTGTCAATTAGTCACAGGGTTATTGGATGATGAGAAAAAATCCTACAGGTAAGTCCTAGTGATGTAGATTATTTAAGGGGCTAAAATTATAATTCTGTATTTATTTATGAATTCTTTCATCTAGAACCAGTAATGTCCATATTGCTGTGCAGACAGATAAGAATTCAGTGTTCCTTTCCTGAGGAAAGTGTTGGGTCAACAAAAGTTAAAATGGCAACAGAACATGGTGGTACAACAGCAGAGAGGACACAAACATATGGGAGACAGGAAAGATACTTTTGTCAAAATAATAATGATGATAACCTATCATTCAATGAGGTTCTGTTTCACATTTACCTGGGAATCTGAGAGGCAGTTTATAATCTGCATGACAAAGGAAGCTCACTGCACCAAGGCTGAGAGGGGTGATAGAAAGCTAGTCAAAATATAAGGTTCTTTTAGTTTTGCCCATATGGATGCTCCATTGTAGGTCTGCAGGTACCTCTACTGAGAGATTTTAGCACCACCTCTTCAGCCTGCATCTGGGATGCTGTGATCCCCAGTCTTCCTAATATGGTCACCTGTGGCTACTGGGATCTGTGGGCAGCCTACAGGCCCCACGCTTCTCAGGTATCTGGTATCTCCCACAGAAATTCCTGCAACAGTCTTCTACAGCCTCCAGAACCCCACAGAAGAAACTTCCTAGGAAAAGGAGGCCAGAATACAGATGGAAACTACTCCACTGACAAACAACTCCTCTTTCTCACCTGATTAGACAAAAAGAAGTATTTCTTCACACCATGCTCAGTCAACCTGTGGAACTCCTTGCCAGAGAACTGTGAAGACCAGGACTTTAACAGAGTTCAAAAAAGAACTCGATAAATACATGGAGGTTAGGTCCATCAATAGCTGTTAGCCAGCAGAGATAGGAATCATGTCCCTAGACTCTGTTTGTCAGAAGCTGGAAATGAGTGACAGGAGAGGGATCATTTGGTGATTCTCTGTTGTATTCATTCCCTGTGAAGAACCTAGCATTGGCCACTGTCAGAAGACAAGATAATAGGCTAGATGGACCTTTGGTCTGACCAAGTATGGCAGTTCTTATGTTATGTTCCATCATTAGTGGATGATTTCAAGCTTTACCAAGGTCTTACTAAAGAGGGTGGGTGAGGTTCTGCATATTCTCCTTCACAAAGTGAAAGGGTTACACCTCAAATTGTTGGACATGCTACAGACCTCTGCTGCCTCATCTAAGATTGTTTTAATTTCTAATTAACACCTTTAGGGTTGACAGGTTCTTTGTTCCAGGATCAGGCCCAGTATTCAATTATTCTATGGTTGGGAACCCAGATGTGCACAGTTGCAACACTCACACTATAGAAACTCTTGTATATTTACAAATAGAGTTTATTAATATAGTTAGTACTGTCACAAACACCCCAGTTTCATAAGATAGGGAATGTACATCCATATTTCCATACCGTATACTTACATCATTCCTTCTAGAACAATCTTAGGTGTTAGCCCATCATCTTTCTCATTACCTTCACCTTCCCCATCATCATCTGGGGCATCATTCTGGCCCTTCCAAGGACTGCATCTTCTCCTCCCTCTCGCCCCTAAGCTGGGGTCCCACTTTTATACTATCTGACACTGACGTGTTTGATGCATATTCAATAGGGGATATTGCTAATGTTGAAGTGTTCTTTTCCTATAGGTCAATGTATCATTGCTCTCAACTTATTATCATATACGTCAATGCGTTACCATGGGCCTTTGTGGTCATTTATCACGTCCTGTGTCCTGATTACTTCAGCTCAGTCTGAACCAGTAATTTTGGGACTTTTTATATAATAATACATCTGCTGAGTCTGAGGGTATTTTCTCTACCATCCTATGTGGGTGAAAGGTCCCAGGTATAAGTTCTCCTTTTCAGTCCAGGGAAGCTCTAAATATGACCTGTGTCTGGGTGAGATCAGTGTTTCAAGCATAGAAATCTCCTAACCTTAGCTTCTGCTGATCTTGTAAATGGCCTTTCACAGTCTTTAGCAGATTTTGTACATTACAGCTCTTAACTATTACCTCTATACTAAATCTACCCATTAATATATTAATGAATTAATCTAAATCAACATAACCATATTATTAGCATGATAGGCAAGTAATGTGATAGACTACACATCTTACTCTTAGAGAATTTCCCTGCCAGTCAACAAAGCACTTTTAGACTTTGCCAAGATAATCTAGTGAACGTCAGCCTCTATTGCTCCAGCATATAAGAGGGAAAGCAAAAAGTATTACATGCTCCATAAGGAGGTAGATTTTCTTTTCATGCATCCTCAGCCTAACTCTGTCATGGATTATGTTAACATCACACCAAAGCCACCCTCTGTGTAGACTGGAAAAAGTTTGACCTGTTTGGGAGGAAGACATACTCATTGGTGACTTTAAAAAGCAGGATTTCAAATTAACAAGCTCTAATTGTCAACGTTGTCTAATATGCGAAACTCAACGTTTTTGACTGCTTGCTAGAAGCACAAAAGGAACTGTTTTAAGCCATTATCCATCAGTGCCAGTTGGTAGTGAGAACAGTACTACAGACTGCACTGGATACACTGGAGGCAATGGCGATTTAGCCTGAGTGGTGGTGATATTGAGGCGCATCCTGTTATACTTATCAGGGTTGCCAAAGAAAGTGCAGATGATGGTTGAGAACCTCCCATTCGAAGGACCCGATCCTCAACTTCTTAACCCTTGTCTTCAAAACACCAGTTTTGATGTGTTGGTCAAGGCCCTGGGTATCCACTCCTTGCAACTACAACATATAGACCTTTCACATCCCTTCAGAAGTTGCCTGAGCCTTCCTCAGGAGTTTGGAAGAACACTACATCTAAGAATGGGTCTTGGAGATTATTTTGAAGGATTACTCTTATTTACTTCATGTCCCTTTCCTTCCACACACCCTCCCTCCCCATTCCTTTCTGGGACCCTTTTTATTCCTGATATTTCCTGATCCCCAAAAGAAAGAGAAGTTGGAGACCAATAGAAACACATGCTGTCAGCTGTG